GGGGTGAGGTGAGGGCTGTGAGGTGAGGTGAGCGCTGTGCGGTGAGGTGAGCACTGTGGGGTGAAGTGAGGTGAGCACTGTGAGGTGAGGGCTGTGAGGTGAGGTGAGCGCTGTGGGGTGAGGTGAGCACTTTGGGGTGAGGTGAGCACTGTGGGGTGAGGTGAGCACTGTGAGGTGAGGTGAGGTGAGCGCTGTGAGGTGAGGTGAGGTGAGCGCTCTGGGGTGAGGTGAGGGCTGTGAGGTGAGGTGAGCGCTGTGGGGTGAGGTGAGCACTGTGGGGTGAAGTGAGGTGAGCACTGTGAGGTGAGGGCTGTGAGGTGAGGTGAGCGCTGTGGGGTGAGGTGAGCACTTTGGGGTGAGGTGAGCACTGTGGGGTGAGGTGAGCACTGTGAGGTGAGGTGAGGTGAGCGCTGTGAGGTGAGGTGAGGTGAGCGCTCTGGGGTGAGGTGAGGGCTGTGAGGTGAGCGCTGTGGGGTGAGGTGAGGTGAGGGCTGTGAGGTGAGGTGAGGGCTATGAGGTGAGGTGAGGTGAGCGCTGTGGGGTGAGGTGAGCGCTGTGGGGTGAGGTGAGGGCGGTGAGGTGAGCGCTGTGGGGTGAGGTGAGGTGAGGGCTGTGAGGTGAGGTGAGCGCTGTGGGGTGAGGTGAGGTGAGGGCTGTGAGGTGAGGTGAGCACTGTGGGGTGAGGTGAGCACTGTGAGGTGAGGTGAGGTGAGGGCTGTGAGGTGAGGTGAGGGCAGTGAGGTGAGGTGAGGTGAGGTGAGCGCTGTGGGGTGGGGTGAGGTGAGGTGAGGGCTGTGAGGTGAGGTGAGGTGAGGGCTGTGAGGTGAGGTGAGCACTGTGGGGTGAGGTGAGGGCGGTGAGCTGAGCACTGGGGTGAGGTGAGCGCTGTGGGGTGAGGTGAGCACTGTGAGGTGAGGTGAGGTGAGCGCTCTGGGGTGAGGTGAGCGCTGTGAGGTGAGGTGAGCACTGTGGGGTGAAGTGAGGTGAGCACTGTGAGGTGAGGGCTGTGAGGTGAGGTGAGCGCTGTGGGGTGAGGTGAGCACTTTGGGGTGAGGTGAGCACTGTGGGGTGAGGTGAGGTGAGCGCTGTGAGGTGAGGTGAGGTGAGCGCTCTGGGGTGAGGTGAGGGCTGTGAGGTGAGCACTGTGGGGTGAGGGTGGTGAGGTGATGGCTGTGAGGTGATAGCTGTGAGGTGATAGCTGTGAGATGATGGCTGTGAGGTGAGGGCTGTGAGATGATGGCTGTGAGGTGATAGCTGTGAGGTGATGGCTGTGAGGTGAGGGCTGTGAGATGATGGCTGTGAGGTGATAGCTGTGAGGTGATGGCTGTGAGGTGAGGGCTGTGAGTTGATGGCTGTGAGGTGATAGCTGTGAGGTGAGGGCTGTGAGGTGAGCGCTGTGGGGTGAGGTGAGCACTGTGGGGTGAAGTGAGGTGAGCACTGTGGGGTGAGGTGAGCGCTGTGGGGTGAGGTGAGCACTTTGGGGTGAGCTGAGGGCTGTGAGGTGAGGTGAGGTGAGCACTGTGGGGTGAGGTGAGGTGAGCGCTGTGAGGTGAGGTGAGGGCTGTGAGGTGAGGTGAGGTGAGCGCTGTGAGGTGAGGGCTGTGAGGTGAGGTGAGAGCTATGATGTGAGGGTGGTGAGGTGATAGCTGTGAGGTGAGCACGGTGAGGTGAGGTGAGCGCTGTGGGGTGAGGTGAGCGCTGTGGGGTGAGGTGAGCACTGTGAGGTGAGGTGAGCACTGTGAGGTGAGGGCTGTGAGGTGAGGTGAGAGCTATGATGTGAGGGCTGTGAGGTGAGAGCTGTGAGGTAAGAGATGTGAGGGCTGTGAGGTGAGTGCCTTGAGGTGAATATTCTGAGGGGCCGTGGCCGTGGGCCTGTGGGTCCTGAAGTGTCATTGGCTGTGTGAGGTCAGTGTAGGCCCTACAGTGGCCAACCCCACTAGGCTCAGGGCAGCTGTACTGCCCCCCGACCACAGGTTCTGTCACCTCATCGTGAGTTTGTGTGGTGGTTATTGCAACCCCAGCATCCCTCTGTGGTTGGGGCTTCCTGCTGAGGGCCTTCCAGGACCTCCCATGCCCCAGGGACCTTAGGAAGGGCTCAGGATTGGCCCAAGGCAGCTTCCCAGAACCACAGCCCTCACGCCAATGTTGACCAGTGGCAAAAGCTGGGGCTGGGTGCTGCTTTCTGGGCCTGACTGCTAGACTGGCCCTGGCGGTGCTCACGGCTGGTCATATGGCAGCTCCTGTGGCTGGTACACCAGTACCTCCTGTTTGTGTGTGGATCTGTCACCCCTCGGTGCCCTGAGCAGTGGCACTGTCCTGCCCCATTCTGTGTTGTGGACTAAGCCCTAGAGGCCAGTGCAAGTGTGGTGTGCTGTGGCCAGCTCTGAAATCTTGTGTGGGTCAGTGGGAATGCCCTGAGAAACGTTCCATGAAGAGCAGTCCCGGAGGCTGTGCCTGCCCTGCTGGGGTCTGCAGCATCCTGCATTTGTCCGTGTCCCTTCCACATGGTGGTTTCCTTGGCACTGCTAGGTTTTCGGTGTGTGCTGCTCCCTGGCTGGCATGCTCCGTCCTCTGGTTCGCTTGCTGTCCTGGCTGGGCCAGAGACTTCCTTGGAGAGGAGTGGTGCAGACTTCACAAAAGCTGATCCGTGCACATCTGTAACCCTGAGGGCAGAGTCTGACCCTGCACCATTGATGTCTGTGGGTCCTGCATGTGCACAGGACCTGCGCGTGCACACTGAGGGGACACTTTGTCCTGCAGTCCCTGGAAGCCCAAAACTTGGACAAGCAGCCAGGCACCTGCTGGGGGCTAAGTGCTGAGGAAGACGCGGGTGTCAGGCACCTGGGGGCCATCAGGCAGGAGGGCTCTGGCACTGTGGTGAGGGGAGCCTGCATGTCCATCACCAGCCAGCGAGCTGCCACTGCCTGCCTGAGGAGGGGGACTCCATGACCTCCTGCTAGCTTCCCTTGGGAGTGGGCAATCACACTCACCTCACGGGCTCCTCCAGGTGTGTCTGGGGAGGGCTGGGATGCAGCTGTGCCCTGAGGCCTTCACAGTGGCTTTGCTCCTCCATCCTCTCCCTCTGCCACTGGGTCAGCTGACTCTGACCATCACAGGTCAGGTGGCAGCTCAGTGGGATGCAAAAACAGGGATGAGTTTTGTGGACACAACACAGCAGCTCAAGTAGAATTGATGCAGAGGACATGGCAGCACTCCCAGAGCACACTGCGTGTGTTTTCTGAGACGGTGGAGAGGATGTGGCAGAGAAGACAGGCCGGCCACGTGTGAGTGTTGCTCCGTAGCTGGCAGAGCTCCAGAATTTGGACATGTCTTTGTGACATTTACAGATAAAAATATAAAAGAAAGTCCTGTCTGTTCCCAGAGAGAGGAGGAGGGGAGAGAGGAGAGGAAGAGGGAGATTGCCCACAAAGCCAAGAGACGCTGGCTGGCCGAGAGCCCTCCCAGGCAGCATGAGTGTTGGAGAGTGGCGTAGTGGGCGGTGCCTCGTTGAGCAAGGCCTGAGGCTTGCAGAGGAGCACAGGGAGGGTCCCCTCTGGAACGGACTCCTCTTCACTTCTCTCCCTGATTACACCTGCAGCCACATTTTGTGTAGCAGTGTTATGTGCTCTTGATTTGGGGGTACGGTAGGGAAGACGTCTTTCTCCCTCTGATGATGAGAAAATCTGTGTGTTGACCCTGCAGTTTGCAAGTTATTTGAAAAATACTGAAATGTAGAATAAATTCTCCCATGAACGCAGCCTTTTGGAACAACTGCAAGTCTGCACCTGACCTGAGGAGCAGCAGGCTTGGGCAGGGTGGGTTCCGACCAGGCTGCTGTCAGACCCGCAGGGAGCCACGGGTGAGTGAGTGGCAGGGCGATACATGGTTGCACTGACCCCTCCTGTCACAGCAGTCGTGGCTCCTGGGGTTGAGAGCTCTGGGTGGAGGCGGTGAGGGAACTGCTGGGTCTCCCGAGTGAAGACGTGGCTGCACAGAATGAGTGGTGTCTGTGAAGGCACGTCTGCCAGGTGCAGGGGAGCCCGTGGGGGTGGGGTGCAGACTGCTGTCTCAGATGTTAGCTATCTGAGGGGGGGGGGGCTCCTCTGCTTACCTTGGCTGGCCTGCAGCAGAGGGGCACCTAGGGGCCTTCCTGCACAGGCGCAGGCCAGCCCTGTTGGGGTGAGGGACAGACAGGAAGGTGGGTTCACATCTCTAGAGCAGGACTGGTCCCATATACTGGGGAGTCTGTGGACCTCATAGCCGCTCAGTACATCATGTCCCGCCATGCCCCATGTCCTCAGCTGGCATTTGAGGGGATGCATTCCCTCATCTGCACATTGCTGCTGTTTCTGCATTTCTGTGGTTAATGATATGAATCCTTTTAGCTGACAGTTTGTTCACATCCTTATTTATTTTTAAGTTTTATTTATTTATTTGAAAGGCAGAATGACTGAGAGAGAGAAAGATCGATCCTGCATTTGCTGGATCACTCCCCAGATAGCTCTAATAGCCACATTCGGGCAGGCAGAAGCCAGGAGCCTGGAGGTCTACTTGGTGGGTGGAAGGGACCAAAAGCACTCGGGCCATCTTCTGCTACCTTCCCAGGCTTGTTTGTAAGGAGTTGGATTGGAGGTGGAATAGCCAGGACTCAAACTGGCACTCTAAGAAGAGATGCTGGTGTCACGTGGTGGCTGCACTGTTGGGCTACACTGCTAGCTTCCTTCTTTTCTTACTGATAGTTCTTCAGAGCGTTGCCTGGTCACAGGATGCTTGAGGTTTTACTGGAAGCATTTGACTCAGGAAGAGTAGGCACGAGCTGAAGGTCCCTTTGCGTCCTCAGTGACAGGCCCAAGGGCTGTTGTCCGTTTTCAAGTGACAGTGACAAATGTGGACAAGGTTTGCTAATACTAGCAGCTTAAAGCACGTTACAGATTTTCCTCCTTGGTTAGGGGCTGGGGGACCTGGGACCTGCACCATGACCGCACGTCTGTCTCCTGCAGATCCGAGTTTGCTGACACCATCCTGTCTGTGCACCCCTCCGACGTGCTGGACATGCCTGTGGACCCGAATGAGCCCACGTACTGCTTGTGCCATCAGGTGTCCTACGGGGAGATGATTGGCTGCGACAACCCGGATGTGAGTGGGCCGTCCAGGCAGTGTTGGGGACATGTGTGACAGAACTCAGTGCTGACCAAGGCTCTCCTTTCCTCTGCAGTGTCCGATTGAGTGGTTCCACTTCGCCTGCGTGGATCTCACCACGAAGCCCAAGGGCAAATGGTCAGTATGGCTGCGTCGTCTCCCCGGCTGCCCGGTGCTGTCCCACTTCCTGGGTGAGGCCCAGCCTGCCCAGGGACCCGTGTGTCTCTTGTGTTTGTGTTTTGTTGCGTACCTGCGAGCAGCTCTCCTGGCTCTGATGAGGCAGACAGTGGCTGAGGGCTTCTTGTTCCCCAGGGAGGTTCTGAAGAAGAGGGTGGGGGTTCAGTGCGCTGCCCAGTGCCGCGGCTGCTGTGCTCCGCTGCTCCTGCACTGTTTGAGTGGGGAGGAGCAAGGGCTTGGGAGCTGCTGCGTTTCTGGGTCCTGCGGTGGACTGCCAGCAGCAGCTGTCCACGTTATGGATCCTAAGATTTTGCTTGGATAAAGCCTGGTGTTGCTGCCCAGTATGTTCTCAGGCTGAGACAAATACTGCCCTCCCAGGTGCACACGGCCTTTGTCGGGGCTGCCTGTTTGCTCATCCTGTGCACTGCTAGAAACTGCCGCAGACCAGGGTGGTAGTCAGTGAGAGCCGCTTTTCCTCAAATCTTTGGAGTGGGGACAGGGAGAGTGAGGAGAGACAGGGCGAGGGGACGTGTGTGCCTCAGGGCTCCTGGTGCACTCTGCTGGCGACCTGGCCGTGCCCCACACCTGGCGGAGGCACTGTGAGGGCTGACACCGCAGGGGGGGCCCTGCTTCTGAGGGGATGGTGGCTGTTGGCTGAGGCGGGCCTGGGGCTGAGGTGCGGAGCAGGGAGACTTGTGATTCCAGTCTGGTGTAGCTTGAGTTGTTACTCTGCTTCCAGGTGGAAGAGTTGTGTAGGCTCTGGGAAGAGTGGCGCTTGCCACTGCGTGTCTGACTGTGGGAGCTTTGCTGCTCCGAGCAGGACACACAGAGCAGCAGTGGGGATGCGGGGTTCTTTGTGGCCTTTGCCTCGATCCCAGGTGTGCAAGCTTCTCTCCTGTTTGGTGTGATTGCTGTGTGTGCCGGTCCTGGTCCCTCATTGCCATTCGGCTCCTGTTAGCCGGAGGCCCAGGCAAGCTCAGGCCCACGCTGGTGGGTGGGGACCTCCTGCATGGGCACCTGGGATGCTGCTTGCGATGTGAACAGCTGCTCTGGTCCAGGAGTGTCCGAGCTGCCTGCGTTTCAGGCCCAGAACTTGTTCAACTCAGAATCTTCAGGACGCTCTTCAGAAACCTGTGGATTCCAGGGCCGGAGCTGCCGTGCCAGGGGCCTGAGATGTCCGCACTGCCCACTTGGTCCCCAGCATCTCCAGCTCTCAGAGCCGCTGCCTCCATGAGCCAGGCAGTGGGTGTCCTTTCCACAGTGGGTACCAGTGACCCTGTGACGGACTGGAGCAGAGGTCAGGAGGAACGCTCCTGGACGGGCTGGACAGAGCAGCTGAACCTCTGCTGCTTTTCTGCTTTTTGCTTCTGGCTGTGTCTCCCCAGAGACCAGCAGCCTTGGGAGACCCTGGGGATGGCGTCCGGGCATCCCCTGTGCTGCTGGGAAACGATGCAAAAAGGTTGACCATTGCCTTTGTCATCACAGGTTTTGTCCACGGTGCGTTCAGGAGAAGAGGAAGAAGAAGTGAGGGAGAGGCTGTGGTCTGGCAGTGGATGGAAGAGAAGTTGATATATCCTTCACTCATGTTGCAATATTTTCTTTCATTTTAAAGCTACCTTGTTCCCACTGATACTTTAGTAACTCAGCTGGCCAGTTGTGGTTCTGGATCCTTCCAAATGCAAACAAGAAAGCGCCACCTGTATACACAGAGGAGCAGTCTTACAGGGCCTGCCGTGCGACTGGAATCTCTTGACTTTTTATACAGACTTGCCCAGCACTGAGCACGGTGGTCTCTGAATGGGACCCGAGGGGACTCGGGTGTGTGAGAGCCAGGGCTGCCAGGCAGGGTGTGTGGTGCAGGTGGGCGGGGCGGGGTGGGGTGGGGTGGGTGGGCGGGGTGGACACGTCCTAGCCACCTAGGACTGTTCTCACAGCAAGGGGCCACGGTAAGCACACCTGTCCATCAGCTGTGTGGGGTGCAGTGCAGTGGTGGCTGGGTTGCCCTCCGTGCTGTGTTCTGACCCTGACATGGGTGACCCGGACTCTTGCTGAGGACACTGCTGACAAGCCTGGGAGAGGTCCCTCTGCCTCACCGTGCACTGCCTCAGCTGGGATGGACCTTCTGGAACGATCGTCTCTGACCACCAGGCTGAGGGCCACCATGACCAGCACTGACTAGAGGTGGCCAAACAGTGGGGCTGGCGTTCGTTTCTCTGGAAATTCCTGATGTTTTTACTGTGAAGATGAAATTATTGTTCTAGCATGAAGATCGTGGGGTGTGTGTCTGTGAAGTGAGCCTGTTGCTAGATGAGCTATGTCCAAGGGGACTACAATGATGTGACTTGATTGTGAAGCTCTTGTGCCACAGTAGCAGTTCTAGAGTGAAGCTAGGAAACCAGTGTACTTTTGTTTAGTCAGCATTCACCAAACCGGAAGTTGAGCCGTCTTTTTGGTTGTCATTGGGGTAAATGCATCCACTTGGCCTGTTGAGATGCACGTGTGGCCCAGGGGAATCCCAAGGATGGGGGGAGCAGTGTCTGCTGCACAGAGCGGGCCCGGGAGGTGGGGCTGAGGTGTGGAGTTCCTGTTTCTCAGGAGGAGGCAGTTTGTTCTCCCATTTCCTAACCTTTGACCTGGAAGGGAAAGTATACAGAGAGGATCTTGGGAGGCTGTGCTCCCCAGCGGTGCCCCTTCCCACAAGGGGATGTGAGCTCAGTGCCTGCTCAGGGCCAGGAGGATGGTTCTGGTGCCTGACCTTTGCAGGAAGCCACTGGGCCTCAGGTGCCTGCAGGTGGGGTGGCTGCTGGCACGGGCCCCTCCCCAGGCATCAATACCGAGCACCGGAGAGGCATAGGACCCCCAGGAAGGAGCATCTGCCCAGCTCCTCCTGTAGCCTCGCATGGTCCTCGTCTCAGCCAGGCCTGGAGCCCAGGGAGGTGTTTTTATTTAATCACTGAGCTTTTTATTAGCATAGAAATGTAAAGATGGCGAGGAGTGAGTTGAGGAAGCCTTTCCTGCCTCCATCTTTGGTGGTGTTTCATGGAGGGGTGGGTAAGTACAGGGCATTTGTAAGGAGGCGATGCCGGGGGATACTTTAGCTGCTAAGCTTCTGTAATGTTTGCGCGTCACCTTTGAACACTGCATACCTATTTCACCACTGGAGAGAAAGGGTGTGTGTGGGTGAGGCTTCCCCAGGAGGGTGACTGGCCCCTGCGCCTGCAGCTGTTCTCGCACACGACGGTGCCACCAGCCACCATCCTGCTTGTGACTTTTTTAAGTTTCTGTGTTCATCTGTTTTAGTGTTTACTTTGCAGTTAGAATAACGTCGCCACGATCCCCTGCACGGAGTGTGGGTAGAGACTTTCCTGGCGGTCAGTGCTGCCAGCCCATGGGGAGACACTCAGGAATGGCTGTCTGGGTGGAGAGCACCTCATGCCACGGCCGGCTCCGCTGCCCTGGGAGCACAGGAGCCCCGCTGCTCATGCCGTCTAAGTGAGCATCCTCCCCACGGCCTGCCGCCTTTGTCCCTGCGTGACCTGGGCGTGGTCTTGGGACAGACCCCCCTCAGCCCTTCCCAGACCTGTCTCCTGTGTGAGGGGTCCCTCTGCTGGCTGTGGGCTTTACCTGGAAGGGAAGAGGCGCAGCTCTGTCTTCAGTGCCGCGCGGTCAGTGAGTAGTCTGAAAAGCCTCCAGGTGCTATGTTAGAAAAAAATGGTAAGCCCAGCCCCGGAATCTGAGCCTGGGAGACTGTCCACACAGCGGCTGGCTGTCCCTCCCCATGTAGGTGCCAGGCCACAGGGTTCAGTGTCTTCCAGTCTGCCTGGGGCTTCCCTAGAAGCAGCCCTGTGGACCAATGACTGCCAGAGGGTTTGCTGGGCTTGGGGGGGGGGCAGCAGCCAGTTGTGTCTCAGGCCCGTTCCAGGCAGCCACACCACACTTTGCTTCCTGGCCTCTCCCCAGTAGCCGTTGGCAGGGGCTGCTTGAGCAGTGACGCCGTCTAGGGAGCGGCGCCTGCACGGCCGTGGAGCCGAGGGGCTGCTGCATCTGAGGCTCGGGGCTCAGTCTTCATGGGATCAGTGCCAGGAGGGATGTACACGGTGGGTGTCAGGTCTCTGGGCCTTCCTGCGTTTCTAGTGACCAGGGCCGGTCTTCGTTACCTGGGAAGTCTGAGGACAGCGTCCCCTGTGGAGAGAGGTCTGGGGAGTCCCTACCCTCAAGTCATCCAAAAAGACGATGCAGCTGCGACATGAATGTTACCTTTTATTTTCAAGGAATTGTTACCTGTGTTCCCTTTGTAAAGGAAAGATAATATTGTAAATCTTTTTATTAAATAATGTAAAGATGTATATCTGTATTTTTGGATCATGTTATAGATTATGGATATATTGTTTAATAAATAAAGTATTTTTTGGAACAAACATTTGGGAGTGCATCGTTTTGGGAAGCAGGTGCGAGATGACAGTGTGGTGCCCAGAGTGCTCTGATGGTGACTTTGCAGACAGTCTGCTCGGGACTGCCTGTCTGGGCCGGCGGAGCGTTGTATGCGCAGGAGGCTGAGGGCAGGGGTGAATTTAAAGACAAAACTGAGGATAAAGAAATTATTCTAACAATGGCTTTTAACCACAGGATCAGCAAGGTGGCAGCACAGCTGGCCTTTTGTGTGGGATTTTGGTGGCCTTGCAAGGCTGTGGTTCTATTTTTGGAGTAGAATGGAAACAATAAAATTCTCTGTTTCGTTTCCAGCTTTCCATTTAAACCTGTGGACACAGTATTTCTGCACGTTTGTGGGGAAGGCGTGGCCGTGGCACCTGCTTCATCTGGCTTCTTGGAACCTTCACAGGGGCAGGAAGTGGGGCAGAGTGGTGTTGGCCACGGGTCTGGGAATGTCCACAGGAAAACGCGGCTGCCACTTTGTTGTGGTATCAGGGTGGTCCCTGAGCCTGCAGGAAGGACCTGTGGGTGCTGGGACGCAGGACACTGCCCCTGGAGTGAGGGCTGCTCTCCAGGACTTGCATGGGTGTCAGGGTCCCAGTGCCAGCTGTCCAGCCCAGAACACCCCAGGCAGGTGAGCAAAGTTGATGTCTGCCCGTGCAGGGCCGTGCTCACGTGCTGGGGAGGGGGGGGGCTCTGGGGTTGCTCAGCCCTGTGGGATGAGGGGCCCGTGCTTAGGGGTCAGCCCCACTTAACTGCCGCCAAGGACAGCCATGCTGGAGGGAACTGGGTGTAGATAAACAGCGGATTTGAGCAGAGCGTAAGCTGCCGCCTCCAGCAGTGCGAACGGCCTACACGCGGCCACGGAGCCCTGGGGAAGCCAGAGGCCCTGTGCGTCTCTGCAGTAGGACACGAAGTGGACATATATCCTCCACGTCCAGTCGGGGTGGACCACAGCGGAGCTGGGTCTCCGGGAGGGTGCGGAAGCAGGGTGCGCTAGGACCCCGCGGGGCAGCGCTAGCGCAACTTCCTGGGAGACGGGGGCCTGGGGCGGGGCCCAGCCCGGAGGGCGTGGCCGAGCCCGAGTGGGCGGGGGCAGGGTACCAGGGCGCAGGCGCAGATAACGGGCTTGGCGGCGCGGGGGCCGTTTCGGGGACGCGGACGTGGTGCGTGCGCGCGGCCTTCGGGGCGCTGGGCTGCGGCCTGGGCTGTGGGGGCTGGGGCGGAGAGCGCGGGGCGCGGTCATGGGGGCAGCGAGCCTTGGCAATGCTGCCCGCGGCTCGTCACGCGGTCGTGCGGGCCTTGCGCGCGCCCGAGGGCCCCTCGAGGACGAGCCTGGGGGAAGGGACGTGAGCCCCGCTGCCCTGCGGCGGCCACACCGGGACCAGTCTGAGCCCTGCTGTGTGACCTGCGGGGCTGGGATGTAGTCGTGGCTGGCACTTGCCCTGTGCACAACCCTGGAGGTGGGGCGTCCAGCCGAGCCCCCGGGCTCTGAGCGAGCGTCCGGCCGAGCCCTCGGGCTGCTCCTCCCGGTCTGACTGGAGGCTGGTGCCGCCGCGGCCCCCGCATTTCACCTTCTCCCGAGACCCCCGGTGGGCGCGGGCGGGTGTCCCCGCCTGTGGTACAACAAAGCGCCGCGGTGGGGCGACGCAGCACGTGCGGGCCTCAGCCCCCCGCTTCGCTCCGAAGGAGGCGGCGTGAGCGCTGAGCTGGAACCCGCAGTGCTCCGCGAGCGCCCTGGACCTTGGCCGAGGGCCGTGGGTGCTGTGCCTGGCGCCTCCCCGGCCTGCGCCTTTCCAGACTCGCATCCGCTTCCTCCCTCTCCTAGGACAGGAGGATGGTGCCCTGCCTGGCGTCCCGCTGGCCCGCGCGGCTCCTCCGGGCCTCTCCACCATGCTGGCTGGCAGCCCGCGTGCGCGGGACCCCCCGGGAGCGGAGCCCGCGTCCCCGCAGCCCTCACGAGGCGGGCAGGGGCTGCTGCTCCGCCTCGGGCGCCCCTGAGGTGACGCTGACCCCCCAGCGCTACGCCGTGCAGCGGCTGCCGTTCTCGGCGGTGTCTGAGCAGGACCTGGCCGCCTTTGAACGCATCGTCCCAGGCAGGGTGGTCACAGACCCAGACGAGCTGCAGGCTTTCAACGTGGACTGGCTGAGGATGGTCCGAGGTGAAGGGGTCTGCTGGGACCGGAGTAGTGGGTGGGAGAGGGCCTGGAGTCCCGTGAGCGCGCCTGCAGATGCGCTGGGGCCGGGTGGCAGTGTTCTGAGCATGGGACCTGCAGGTGTGACATCCGCTCCAGCGAGGGGGCGTGCGACAGCTTCGCTCCTGTTAGCTGGTGGCCTTGAGCACGGGTTTCAAGCAGCAGTTTATTCTCTCAGTCCTGGAGGCCAAAAGCCTGAAATCAGGGAGGGGCCTTCCTGACCCTTCCAGCCTTAGCTGGGCACAGGCATTCCTGGGCTTGAGGTCAGTCACTCCTCTCTCCATTTCCACATGCCTCCCCTTCTCCATCTCTCTCACAAGGGCTCCGGTCCTGATCCAGGATGACCTCCTCTCCAGAGCCTTAACTTGCAACCGTATAACCCTTTTCCAAAATGGACACATTCTCAGTTCTGGGGCTCAGGAGGTGGTTGTACCTCTTGGGGGCCCCTATAGCTCACTAGGGTAGGATGCAAGGTTGGGAGTGGCTGCCACCGTCCCCTCTCTCCCACAGTCTCCCCACTGGCACACGAGTCTGCACACACCAGGTATTTCTCAGCTCTCAGGTCCCACAATCCCTCTTAGGGATGACAGTGCCCCACGTCCTCTCTGAAGTGATTGGGAGATATTATAACCCAGCTGCTGCACAGTTTAAAAAGTCAGCTTGGTGTTCTTGCTGTGGTAGTGAGAGAGAGAAGAGGAGCAGTCGCTAACAGTTTACTACAAAATGGCGCAGGCCCGGCGGTTGAGCTGGCTCAGCTACTGTGGGGAGCAGGGTGCACCACAGTCTGCAAGGTCTTTGGAAACTGTGGCTCCAGACACACAATCTGAAACACAGTGCTTGTAAAAGTGGCACAAAGTCCCGAGCAAGCTGAACTGGGCTCTAGGCTTGGATGTTGGGACCAGGGCCCCTGGGAGTCACCGGGCTGTTCTCACTGTGCAGGGGTGCCTACCCCACCCTGCACACTAAGCCAGGGCCTGGGGTGATGCTGGCCTCGTGGGAGCCCATTGCTGGGCATGGAGCCCATGGGTTATGTGCTTGTTCTTGGAGGCCAGGGCAATAGATGTCCGCCCAGGCTCAGGTAGGCCCCAGTCCTTGCTCAGTGTTGCTGCCTGGGTGGCTCTAGGCAGACACAACTTAGTGCCCACCCCTTCAAGGTGAAGATGGGTCCAGTCAGGGATGCTGAGCTGAGGATGGTGGAGGAGGGCGTGGGCTCTGTGCTCCCAGCCGGCCCAGAGGCTATGTGGCTGCTGTCTGGTGGGCAAGAGGCCTCTCCCTGGGTTTCCAGGAGTTGGGAGGGAGCTATGATTAGGTCCCACTGAACCTCTGACCTGCCTAGGCAGGGACTGGCCATTCCCCAGACTCCTCCCTGAGGCTCCCGTCTGTGGGCAGTATCTTTGCAGGAGAGCTGTGTGCTCTACGTGTGCCTGTGTGACGGGGCCTCCTGCCCTTGCTGCCACCCTGAGCCTGGTGAGGGCTCAGCCTAGTGTCTGCTCAAGAGTTGAAGGTTGAGGCCCCTGTCGGATTTAGTTGAAATGCACCTTTATGTGGGGTGGGAGACTTAGCTAGTCTCAGAGGGAGACATAGTAACTGCATCGAGAAGCTTGGCAGACATGGGCTCACTGGCATCCTAGTCAACCCCACCACTACTGAGTGGGAAGACGGGGCATCTCCAGTGCCAGTTGGTCAGTGCACAGCTGCCCCCAGGGCCCAGGCACCAACTACCAAATGCTGTGTCCTGCTGGCCAGGGCACTTTTTTTTTTTTTTTTTACAGGCAGAGTGGACAGTGAGAGAGAGAGACAGAGAGAAAGGTCTTCCTTTGCCGTTGGTTCACCCTCCAATGGCCGCCGTGGCCGGCGTGCTGTGGCCGGCACACTGTGCTGATCCGAAGCCAGGAGCCAGGTACTTCTCCTGGTCTCCCATGGGGTGCAGGGCCCAAGCACTTGGGCCATCCTCCACTGCACTCCCTGGCCACAGCAGAGAGCTGGCCTGGAAGAGGGGCAACCGGAACAGAATCCGGCGCCCTGACTGGGACTAGAACCTGGTGTGCCAGCGCCGCAAGGTGGAGGATTCGCCTATTGAGCTGTGGCGCCGGCCTTTTTTTTTTTTTTTTTTTTTTTTAAGATTTGTATTTATTTGAGGCCTTTTTTTTTTCTTTTTTTTAAGATTTGTGCCTTGCGGCGCCGGCACACCGGGTTCTAGTCCCAGTCGGGGTGCCAGATTCTTTCCTGGTTGCTCCTCTTCCAGGCCAGCTCTCTGCTGTGGCCTGGGAAGGCAGTGGAGGATGGCCCAAGTGCTTGGGCCCTGCACCCCATGGGAGACCAGGAGGAGCACCTGGCTCCTGGCTTCGGATCAGCACGGTGCGCTGGCTGCAGCGCGCCGGCCTCAGCAGCCATTGGGGGGTGAACCAACGGCAAAGGAAGACCTTTCTCTCTGTCTCTCTCTCTCACTATCCACTCTGCCTGTCAAAAAAATAAATAAATAAAATAAAAAAATAAATAAAAGATTTGTATTTATTTGAAAGGCATAGTTACAGAGAAAGAGAGGGAGAGACAGAGATCTTTCACTGGCTGGTTCACTCCCCCAGATGGCCACAACAGCTAGGGCTGGGTCAGACCAAAGCCTGGAGCCAAGAGCTTCTTCTGGGTCTCCCACATGTATTCAGGAACCCAAGCACTTGGGCCATCTGCTGCTTTCCCGGGCGCATCAACAGGGAGCTGGCTTGGAAGTGGAACAGCCGGGATTGGAACCAGTGCCCATGTAGGATGCTGGAGTCAAAGGTGTGGCTTTACCC